TGATAACTTTGACAACAGATGACCCAGATGCAGATGTACTCCCTGGTTTTCATCACTTAAGGCCTTGCAACATCTGAGGACTCCACTAACAAGAAGGTCATCAGCAGATGGGTCTCCTTGAGCTCTAAATACTGTGCTTCTCTTTTCTCTCTGAAGAAACCCAGCCTTTGGAATTTCATTATACTAACAGGAAATAGGCTCCTTCATGCTTAATATCTCCAGCACAGACATATACTATGATTTCTCATAATGGGTCAACATTTGTGCTTCCTGACAAATGCTGAGGTTTCTATTTTGGAATGTTTTTAAATCCTTTTACATTGAAATACAGGAAAATTTAATAGAAGAAAATTTGGCCCTCATGGTAGATCAAAGTCAGGTTTAGTGTTACTTGTGACTTGAGTCTTGTGTCTTATTGATTATTAGAACAAGAACATTTTACTGAGCTCCTGAGTTTAAATATTCTGTCCACAGTAAGGAAGGTTAATCTACAATATGGACTTCAGTAAAAATACTTTAGACCCTAATATTTTCTTCATTGTTTCTTTCATAAAGTCTTTCTTAAGGAGGTTAATTTGTAGTTCATTTTTAACTTTCAAGACAAAGTAATTTTTATTGGACTGACTTTATCAGCTGGAGCATACAGTCCACCTGACCTGTCCATAACTGAACTACAGTCCTTAGGAAGTCATGTTCTACACAGAAGATTCCAGATGAATGTTTGGTGAATGAGTAGATGGATACAGATAACAAATACTGATTATCTTTATATTCATTTATTTCCATTTATGTTTCTAAGAAGAGTATCTTCAGATCTATTATATTTGGAGACTCTTCTAGATCAGCATAATCAGAGTTTATGTGTTTATTTTACGTGTATTGGGCTAATTGAATCAAAGTGGATGGACTGACATAGAATGTATATGTCACTAAAAGGAAATACTTTTGGACAGAACATTTAACTTATACAAGTTCAGAAATTTAATTAGAGATATTTAGAAATTTAAAGGTAATAGGTCAAGTTAATTAAACTCAACTAGAATCCAACCATGGCTCAACCATATAATGACTCCCCTTTATGAAATTGTTCCTTCATTTGTGAAATAGGTACATTTATGGCTATTCCCAGGGGTTGCTGAGAAGGATAAAGAAATATAAGTATAATTCTAACTTCTTATGCTTTGTAAATAACACATATATTTCCTTTCATTCTGATTCCATGCCCAAGGTCTTTCCAATAATGTCAAAGGAATGTGTCTGGAAGAACACCAGACAGCAAAGGATGTAAGTCAACAGCTGAGAGACTTTTGAACACCTACTCTCTTTAACAAGAGTGTGAGAGCATATGGAAACACATATAAAGAAGTATGTGCATCTCTGTGTAGGAATATGCACAGGGAGATTGTAGGTGAAAGTGATATTGTATATCACAAGATTTTGGAATATAAGACAAATTTAAGCATGTATATATTTTTTTCATTAACTTTATTGGTACATTTTAGTTACATTCATCATTGGGATCTTGTACATTTACATGATGTATCTTGGTTCTTATTTTTTCCACCATTCCCTGTGCTCCCTTCACCCCCTCAACC